CCAGATCTTCTGCAGCAAACAAGAAACCGCCCTCCTTTCCCCCTCGGCCCGGTGGATCTCCAAAACTAGCCCCAGGATTTCAAAAATGAGGCGCTCGGGAGAGGCTCGCCCGTTCTGCCTCCTTGCCAGCGGGAAGGCAAGGAAACCTTCGAAGCACAAGAACGGAGAATAATTTCCCAGCGCTATTTGGCAAGCCCTGACTGTAGAGTTTGGCCGTTTTTAGGCAAGGTCTAAAAAGCTGCAAAATATACAGACAAGGCGGCTTTCGGCTAGAACCAGGGCTTCATTTCAACCACACAACAATCCATCAATCAACTCAAAGAAGAAGGAAAGGTGGTCGCTGGGGGGGTGCTGCTGCTTTGCATGTGATAAAACCCAGGTTTAATCCAAGGGTTAAGACATGGGGGGGAAACCACGCAGGGACCGTCTTCTTCAAGTCAAACTCAACTCATGGTTAAACCCTGCACCTTTCCTCAGCAACACCACATCAGTTTGCCCTGGCCTTCTCCCAGGAGCTTTTTGGACTTCCCAACCAGTTTTCAGATAGCCTGGTGGTCCCCCATCCTAGCAGGCCAGAGCTTCTGAACCCAGACCGGGACAGCTTCCGACAACACAGACAAGCCCACGAGATCAAAGACACCGTAAAGCTGTCACACCCTGCAGGTTTTGTCTAAAATTAGTTGTTTCACCAGAAGCTTGAGGACTAGAATCTTTGAGAGGAGGTGCAGGTTCAATTCGTGGCACCAACCCACAAGAGCCCCGCTCTCTGAAATCCAGGAGAGCTACGATCAGGGGCCATGAACTAAATATCTCAACACCCCCAAATCACTTTTTAAGCATTTCAGAGTCCAACAGATGCACACACGCAAAGCCCAGCGCATGGTCACATCCTGAAGAGCACAGAGCCGCTGTTTAATTTTTCCTCGTCGGCGGGCAGGGGGCAGGCTTTCCGCAGCCGGTAAAGCTATCGATCTGCCAGGGTTAAATGGAACCTCAAGGGTCAGAAGCATTCTATCTGCAAGTATCTGGGGGGAGAAAAGCCATCTTTCCCAAACAGGGTCGTGGGCCCAAACCACCCTTCTGGAAGCAGGATAACCAGCTAGGCAAAAAGCTGTTTTTCCCGCGGAGCCGGACACCACACCAGAGTTTTTACATGCAGCGAGGTCAAGTGGCTGAGAGACATCATGTTTCCCTGCGGAATCGTATTGACACTTCAATGAATCTCCGTGCATTGTATGGGAACCGCTGTTCTCTTCTGAAAGGTTTCATAATGGCGTGTGACGGATGTCAGCGCGCGGCAGCTTTAGGACGGGGGAACGCAGCCCGCCGACGTGGCCCCTCTTTCCCCCCTCGCCGCCGAGCCGGAGCAACGAGGCGAGGAGTGGGGGGAGCGCAGCGGAGACAGCTTAATCTGGAGCAGACTTTTTAAGAAAAAGAAGAGAGAAATGTTACATGCATTTAATGTCTAATTAGGAAAAAAATAAGCTGTGGAAATCATGTACATCTGGTAATAGTCCTTCTCCGACAGCGGCGGCTGAGATGACCCTATTTCAAGGTTGAGTTGCTAAGAATATAATTGAAAGACGAAAATGAAAATGAAATTGGAGCCTATCAGGGCATCGGATTCGGACTGTACTGAACTGGGGGATAGCAGCTCACGCTTGCCGGCGCAGGGAGTCTACCGCGTTACGGGCGATCCTTATTTTGAGCCCAATTTGGTTGCCCTCACGCGTCGCCACCCTGGCCTCTCCTTCCCAACGTTTTCCAGTTCAGCGATAAGGTGGGGGGCCTTATCCACAGTTCACACTCCTCTGGCCAGGATACTTTCCTGGGGTGACTCCACCCCAATGCCGGTCCACGGGAGACCTGCCTGGCTCCGTTCCCGCTTGGGGGCGGGACTTAAAAATCTGGATTTGACTGATATTGGTCCCCGTTACCCATTGATCTGGCTGAACGGCCCCTACCATCCTCACCTGCCCGTCTCCCAGGCAGAGAGATCAACCATACGGATGGGTCCGCTTCTCAGTTTCGGTTATATTATCTTAAAAGTCGCTCCCTGCAGTTCCTGAGAACATTTGGCCTTGCAGAGGAAATGTAAACGAAGCAAATAGGAGTGTCCTCAGTCCTTGGATAGCAAAGTGGTGGTGATCTCCGCGTCTCCCACCTTGGGGAGGTGGGCAGCTGGGTGCCCGCTAAGGGCTGGCCACTGAATATTTCATTTGCTTGGGAACTTTCCCAGCATCTAATATGATGACCAAATTCTGCACCGAACTTGCAGCACTATTAGCCCAAGCCAGCGGGAGAAAACAAAACCCCACAGCTGTCATAGAGGTGGACTAGAAGGGGTTTTCTACCACCTTTATTTCTGCACCCAATATATACAGATTTTATTTATACAATTTAATAATATACAGCACTTTTATATTAAGTGTGTGCGCGCGTGTCTATATATAGATTTGTGTGTGTGTATGATCTTCACACAGGGGTACACAAAACCCTTATGTCTCTTTCTGGGAAGAAAACACATCCGGTGGGAAAAAATTAACTGGCCTCTCCAAAACCTGCAGGGAGCGTGCCAATTCCTATAAAACCTGAAAAAGTTCAGTTGGGGAAAAACAGAAAGTGCTAGCTCGTTTTTCATGGAAAGACCAAAGATCCGAACGCATGAAAAGGAGTCTTAAAAAGAGGTTGCAAACTCAGCTGGACGGAGAGGGAATTCGAAGCCTAGGAAATTGATTAAAAACGTGGTCGGCTAGGCAGGTCCATTGCCCCCCAAAAGGCCAACACACCCCTGGGGACCCCCCTCCATCACCGTGCGAGGTGAGAGGCCTGTTGGGATGAAGGAAGGCCCCCGGGAACGAGCAGAAAACGTCAGCGCTATAAAATCAAGGGGATCTGCCATAGGAGCAACATACTGTCGGTTTCACTGCTCGATGGAGACCTGCCGTTGGCACCGAAGTTGCGGTAGCCTCTTCCTCCTGAAATCACAGCCAAGGAAGAAATCTCCTTACGGTGAGAGTCCTTCGCGCAGGGCTGGCTGCGTACCCAGATGTCCGGGTCGTCCGCCATCTCGTAGATGGAGCCGTCTTCCTCCGTGTGCTCCAGAGAGCTCCCGCCGGCTGGCGAAGGAGCATCCCTCGTGGACAGCAACTGCCCGGGGAGATGAGCCGTGGATCGGAGGCGGTACTGCAGAAGGATCCCCTTCTTCCTGATTTCCCTGGTGGAGGAGCTGTCCGGAGCAGCCGCTTCAGAGCAGTGGCCCGCTGGGTTGGGGTGCTCGCCTTCCGCCAACGGAGCTTCCTCCGCCGCGTCGTCCTCCTTGTCGCTCTTCAAGATCTCCGGCGCCAGGGTGCTGAAGGCCACCGCCAAGAACTCCACAGGGCCGCAGTGGCCGTTGAGCGACACCATCCCCTTCCCTGAGCAAGGGAGAGAAGGCTTTGGTTAACCAGGACACCCAGCAGGCACTCCCGAGCAGGCGTGGATCAAGAGCCTTTCCAGCACAAGCAGGCAGAATGTAGGGGGGGGAAGTAACTCAATTCTCCCAAATGCACTGTGAAAGCAAGAGGTTTTTGTTCAACCTCTGGTCAGAAGCCCCAAAGGGCTAACAGCCATGCAGAAGAACAGGTGGAAAAAAAGAGAGAGAGGCTGGGAGAGAGATATTTGGAAAGCAAACAAGACGTTCCACAAACAGAATCCAGGATGGTCCAAATTAATCTCCCCGTTAGATCAAATCAGCGAGCATCTCTCTACTCGCCACAAACGAGAATCAATAACTCAGGGGGGCTCTTGCCAGCCGAGCCATGAAAGATAAAAATAAACAGGATTATTTTAAGCGGCTTCGGTGTTCTCAGGACTCTGTCCCCATATTGGTGTGGGCTGTGCGCTCTGCTCCATCATCCTGCTGGAGGTGTCCAGACAGAGCGAATGAGGAAGGAGACTTACCTGTGATTTTGGGGATCCCCTCCAGCCTGGGCACAGGCAACAGGACCAAAATTCCCTGGTCAGTACCAACCCAGAGGAGGCCCTGGCAGATGAGGAGGCTGGTGACTCGGACGTTCTTCTGCCCTGCAGAACGAAATAAGACCCTGGTCATTGCAAGAAGCAGGAGCCTTCTGCTTCATCCTCCACCGTCCAGACCTCGCAGCAGAATAGAAACCATCTCCTAAGCTAAGGGAATGGACTCCGGGCCCTTTGAGCGACAGGTTCTCATCCCCTGTTGCAAGGGGAGAGAAGCCACCTCCTTTCTCCACGTCCCTCTTGGGCTACGTTGAAAGAAGTCATCTTGAACCTGGCAGGGTATAAACCCTTCTGACCAGGGTGGAATAAATGTCTGAGCAAGAGGCACAGAGGGCGAGGGAAGACATCTTACAGGGAGAGCGATTCGACCGCGAAAACGTGGGCTTCGCTACACAGGGGGGCCTGAAGCAGAGGATAGATTGCCCTCTGCTAGGGAAGCTTCGATTCAGATCCCTGCAGAGGTTGGTCTACAGGATTTCAAGGAGCTCTTCCGACTCCATTACGCATGAATCATAATGAACATTGGTTCATTAGGTGCCTTCAGGAGGACTCCTAGCACTGCTGATCTGAAGGAAAACCATGAAGGTTCTCCATCAAGAGGACTATCTGGGTTCCACCTGAAACCCCCCCCCCCCAAAAAACACATTTTCAGTCCAGAAGAAGATGCCCCCTTGGCTCCATAAGCCAAGGCACCATGGAGAAGGTAAAGGCCACACTGGCAGACGGGCACGTCTCCTTGGCACAGGCCCACAGCGAACGGGGAAACGTGCTTTGCAAAGAATCCAGCGCCGATCCAGAGCATATCCAACCTTCTCCAATTTTAATTATTTATTCATATGAACCTGCTTTTCAGACCAACGTTAGCTGCTCCCGTTTTCAAAAACAGAGACGGGAGACCGTCGATACTGGACCTCGGCGGCCGCAAATTCAGTTAACAGTCAGAAAAGCATCGGTACGGGGATTTTTTTTAATCCCCCTAATTAGAAATGATGACGAACTGGGTTTTTATGCCGTTTGAACCGTCAGAGGATGGAGAATTGCGGCGGAGGCAGATGAATACGATATTTCAGATCAATCAACTCTCTGCAGAGCGCAGAAGAGATGGGGATGGCTTCGGTGAGAACGCCTGACCTTTTCTTGTTTATTTATAGTTCCAACTCTAGGAGATGCTTAGAAATTTTATAATGAAAAAGCTAATAAAAACACTAGCCCCGTTTGGAGAAAGACCAGCAAAGGACAAGGGTTGGACTCCGCCGTCCCCGCCCTGCAGGTTTAAATCCGTGGGCAAACACAGAGCTCTTTCCGGGCCCCTCTCCAGCAAGACCCCTTTCATTGAGGAACCCCATCTTGGGGGAAAAAAGCAGCAGTTGGGGTTTCTCTCCTACATTCCTCCCCTCCTTTTAAGTCTGGCGATGCAATGGTGCATTTTAATTGCAAATTAGCTACTGAAAAACCAGGGGAGTTGCGGGGGGGGGGGAGAAAAGAGGGGGGGGGAGCATATCCACTAAAAGCACCTGGGGGGAAGAAGAGGGAAGGAGGGAAAATCTCCAATAAAGCGACGTAGGAGCAGGAAGAGCCTCAGCAGAAAGGAAGAGTTTAGGGAATTAATCGCCCCCCCAAGTCTGCAAGGATACCCCCCCCGGCATCTGGACCCATAATTGCTCTCCCCACACCAATCTTCTTTACCAAAGGGTAAAGAAACCAGATTTGGGGGAACTCGAAAGCTTCTGTTCTTTTGATCCAGCGGACTAGGAATGGGGAGACCCTGGTTCGAATCCCGCCTCCCTGGGGGGTGTTGGGCCTGTTCCTCTCTCCCAGCCTTGAGCTCCTGAATGAAGTCAGGATCTCCATCAATAAATACCCATGTTGTGAACTTGGCCTAATAACAGGATGGATTTTGGAGTTGCCCTTTTGAGCGATGCAGGTAGTCCTCATTACTGACCACAACTGGATCGGCTACTTGGTTGTTAAGCAAAGTGGTTGCTAAGTAAAACCGCAACTGTGCTTATGAACTGACTCCAGCTTTCCTTTGCTTTACAGACCTGCAAAGGTCATCAATGCAAGGATGGGCCGTACAATTATTTTTTTCATCACCGTTGTAACTGCGAATGGTCACTAAATGAGGCAGTCGCTAAATGAGGACTACCTGTACTGCTTTTCTATGTGCACATCACTTCTGTAGGATTTAATTTTGGACCTATCCTGAGGGGTAGGGGGTGGTTTTCGGTTTCAGGGCAGACAAATCGTTGCTGTTGCTAAATTATGGTGAATGCTCCATCAGCCTAGCTTTAAAGGCCGTTCTGAGGATAAAAAAGGGAGGACGGTCCATTTATCCAGCCCTGAACCTTTTGGAACAAGGATCCAAACACCTCTTTTTAGCTCCTGAACTCAGCAGCAGCATTTCGAGCCCCCATTTTCATCAACCCCCTCCTCAAAAATCAACAGGAAGGGGAGGAGTTCTAAGAGCAGATAAATATTTTACCAGCAGGCTCAATGCTCCAATGTCAGACGAGCCATACATCAGCGAATATACAAATTTAAAAAGGCTCTTCTGTTATGCAAAAGCCTTTATTAATGGCCTGTCTAGTTAAAAAGGATGAGAGAGCTTAAGTTCAGAAATGCATTAATACAAAAATACTTTACACCATGGAAGGAGAGCGGCGGCGATACAATTTTTTTAAATACGGCTCTTCTGGAATCTTTTTTTCAAACACGGAACGCTTTACACGAGTAATGCATTTAGTACTAATTATACAATTACGCCATCCGAAGAAGTGGGAAAGAGAGAGGAAAGCTGGGAGGGAGGTGGGCATGCAAAGATTAATGAAGAATTTACAGTGGCTTCGATCAGCCATTTTTCCTTCGTGAAGCAGGGCAGAGGAATCTCCCTGCTTCCCACCAGAAGGTGACTGGACCCACCCCAGCTCTTGTGGCACAGGGGCCCCTAACCTATTTTTCTGGACGCCAATTCCAAGCTCCAAAGAGAAGGAGCTGCCTGGCCTAAACCATAGACTGCCATTCCCAAAAATTCAAAAATCAGAAGGCGTCTTGGTAGCATCGTTCCCAACGAGTGCTCCCTGAGTCTATTAACGCCTAATTAACATCTGCCTCTTGGAAGCATGATAAAGGAAGTCTGTTCTTAGCATATTTTAATTAATGAATCCATATTTATCTATTTTAATTCATGTTCATTCTGCTTTTACTGTAAACCGCCCAGAGCCACTCCACAGTGAGATGGGCGGTCACACATCTGAATTATAAATAAATAAAACCATTCATTTTAGGAGCAGGCAGAAGCTTTTGTGAGCCTCATCCCAGGCAAACCGGGGCTAGACCGGTGTAGGGTTTAAACTGGGGTGAGGTGGGGCAGGAGGGAGGGAAGACAGGTTGGGGGTGCTGAGGTGTGGTCCAGGTGAGACCGTACCTGATCAGCTTAAAAACTGGGTTTGTTGAGAGTGCCTGAGCACTTTCCATGCCTCAAAATTCAGCAATCTGGAATGATTTCCATGAATAGTGGGGCGGGAAGGCCCCCCCCAGGGATCGCCCACTCTAACCCCCTGCTCCGTGCAGGAAAACGAATCCAACCATCCATGAGAGATGGGAGAACCCAGGTTGTCTGCAGGTAGACCGTTCCGCTCCCGGACAGACCTTACAACATTCCTTATATTTCAGTGGATTTTAGGCAGCGGAAGAGAATCCCAGGAGCCAAGTAACTCTGCGTTAGTCTCCCCTGCCGCGGATCCCTGCGGCTTCCTCGCACGTTGCCCTACCTGGCAGGACCGCCGTGGTCCGGGTGGCCACGTTGATGTCCTGCAGGAGCTCAAGCGTCTCGGTGTGGAAGAGCCGTATGGAGGACCCCGAGGAGAAGGCCATCCACACCCCGCTGCCCGCCTTGATCATGTGGGTCACGCTGCTGTCCTCTTCCGGATGGGCCTCGAACGTTTGCTGTGAACAAAGACGAGGGAGAAACTGGCCATCGGCGAGCAACAAATAGATTGGGGCGAGGGGGGGGTGAGTTATATCATTTTTGTGCCTTTGGAGTAACTCAGCATCACTTAAGCCTCGGGGGATTTTGAGGCTTCCTTCCTTCCGAACAGTCTTCTGAGTCAGTCATTTTTCCAGGAAAACAGAACAAAAAGAGAAATCTCTCTCAGACTGGGAATGCTCTGCACAAAAGTCCAGATGGGGAACAAGGCGCGTTTGCAATGTCTGGAAACTAAAACCCAAGGCAGGAAAACTTGCTGGAAAACATTAAGGCCAAATGCAGGGAAGGGTTTTTTTTTTAATTATTATTGTTATTTATTGAGAACAAACATAACTTACCTTGAGTTGCAGCGCAACTCAGATGAAAGATAAATTCACCCTAAATGCGTTAAAATAACTTCATACCGGGCGGAGGGCTAATGAAATGGGGACAGGGCAAGCCCCCTCTTGTTCATCTGAACAAAGGAAGCATTAACTTGGCGTTAAAAGAAGACAGAGCACCTGTCTCTAGCATAAACTGGGAGCCAGCACCAAGAAGGTCCCGTAATCACCTCCTCTTACTGGTACAGACTGGAAACCAAAACATCACCAAGAGGAGGCTGACCTGAATGAAAGTCAGGATCTCCATCAATAAATACCCATGTTGTGAACTTGGCCTAACAACAGGATGGATTTTGGAATTTCCCTTTTGAGTGATACAGGTAGTCCTCGTTTACTGACCACAACTGGGACTGGCAATTTGGTCGTTAAGCGAAACGATTGCTAAGTGAAAGTGCAACCGCGCTTATGATCTGACTCCAGCTTCCTTTTGCTTTACAGACCTGCAAAGGTCATCAATGCAAGGATGGGTTGCAAAATTACTTTTTCATCCCTGTCATAACTGTGAACGGTCACTAAACGAGGACTACCTGTATCTGTAAGTCTCTAAACTTTCATCCCCTCCCTAAATGCATGAGTAGGGTAGGAGAATCATAGGGCTAAAGCAACATGGAAATAGGATTCAGAAGCTGCAAAGGCTGTTGCTGCAATCGTGTCTAACCGAGACCCTTAAACATTTTGCAGCTAGATTTGTACAATGCGCAAGCTTGGTTCATTTTAATTTGGTTTAAACTCCCCCCATGGGTTGAACCCAGTAACCAGGCAAAGTGTGCTGAGTGAAGGAGGTTTTAAGCCTTTATCCTCCTGCACCCCCAAAACGGTTTGGTAGGTCCAAGCACCCCCTTACACGCTGAGCCTAAAATAAAGCTATGGGCGATGATGCAAGACGCGGAAAACAATTAACCCTAAGAAAAATACCACGATGGCCGATTTGACAAATTAAAAGCAGCAGGTAAGCCAGCAAGAAGTTAAACAGTGGCTTCGAAAAGCGGCTAAGATGGAAAGGGCTAAATGGATGAGGAAGCCAACGCTAGGGAAGAAATTGCTTCTTTATGCTCCCTCCTAGTCTCAACCGACCCTACGTTTCTCACAGTATTTAAGCTTTAACATCTCCTCGCTCAGATTAATCTCTCCCTTGTACCTTCCCCACAGCTTTGCCAAGGGTCTGCAAGGTGGCCCAGTCCCATTTTCACGATTTCTCTCCCTGGGAAGGCAACTTTCTCCCACCCCACTTTGAACGCGGCGCTCGTAGGCAGCGCAGAGCAGCCACCTTTTTATGCCTCCATTATAAACTCGGAATATTACCCTGAAAATGCTGACACAACCCTTCCCACCGCAGCATTTATGTACCTCAAAATGTCTATATAATAACAGAGCTCCTATAAATCCCGCTGGGCGGCTGGGGAGACATAAAAAGTTGCATTAGTGTTGACAAGGCAGTGCACGCCACCTGACAAAAAGTGCCAAGCTGGAAAAAATGATAACCTCGTCTTGCCAGGGAAGAGAAGGAGGTGGCAGCTGACGAGGAGGGCACTTCTTCAAATGGGAGAATTAGAAGAAACCACTCTCCGTCCTCCCTTAAGGGAGGAAAGCCCAGGGCCAGGTGGGAGAAGTCTTTAGGAATCGTAGGCACACGCCAGTGTCCAAAGACAACGCTCAGGAGAAACCAAACCGCTCTGAGCTGCAATTTGTCCCGTGCGCACGACACACCACCAGCCAACCCGTCGCACATCAGCCTCCCAGCAACCAAGAGGTGCAGCTTATAAAGTTACTAGATGTGCCAAAGAGATGCCCCCAATGCTTCGGAGGCATCCGAGCGACGAGGGCACCGTCCTGGCCTTTCCATTGCAACCTTGGAGAAGAACGGCGACTGCAGTTAGCAAGACGCGACTGAAGCCTAGGAAAAGAAGGGAATTTGGGGAAACTCTTGCCTTGACTGCCTTGGTCTCAGAGGAAGGGAGGGAAAACGCTGCGCAGCTTTCAAGGTGGAGGCCAGGTCAAGACACTGCAAGAAATACAGTGTTTCCCCTTCCCTCACTCTTAGACCAAAGAAAATCAAGACGGGGCGATCTTGAGTTTCTTTCTCACCTTTCTCTTTCTCATCTTCCTTGGATTAGTTTGTGTTTTGCTGAAGGCCTTGGCGTTCCTCCTCCAAGGTCAACTCTGCACTCCTCTGCAGCGGCCGAGTGCGCGACAGGGAAGCAGGAAAGCTGCAGCCAAGCAAGTAGGCCACGTGGCCACCGCTCTGAATTACAAAAGCGGTGTGTCTTCCGTGCTTGGCTGAAAACTCCTGGGGATTGCGCAGACACACCACAGCAGCAAAGCAGGAGGGACTGGCTCCTGTGTGTTTGTCGCACTGCCTGGAGCAGCCTGCAGCCTGTGGTTTCCCATCAGGGGCTCACTGGCCCTTCCCATCTTTTGAACCCAGACCTGCTCATGGATTACTGTTGCTGGAGCAAAGAGGGGTCTTGAAGCCGGAGGGGGGACAAAAAGGACAGACTCTCCAAGAGGGGGAGGAAAAGCTCTAGGAACAAGGATGGGGTGGAGCCGGAGAGGCAAAAACTGAGATATTGCACACGTGACAGCAGAGGGCAAGGGGTTGGTCCAGATCCAACCCCTGGAAAGCGTTGCCCACCTGGAGATACGCCTACCTGAGCCTTCAGGCTGACGGCGTCGAAGACGGTGACTTGATTCCCACAGCTGGCCCACACGGCGTCGTCCAAGGTCAGCAGCGTCCGCACCGGCGCCAGCCCCACCGCCAGGCATGTGGGCTCGGCTTCGGGGTCCCACAGACCTCCTGCTGCAGGAAGAGGAAAGCTGATGAGACGGGGAAGGGAAGCTGATTTTGAAGACGGGCAGAGAATGAGAAGGCGACCGTTTCAAAGCCTACAAAGTCCAACCTGGCTTGGATTTTCCTTCTCTCGAGTAGTTTGACACGGAAGTGGAACGTCACCCCTCCTGCATTTAGTGAAAGGCCCCAGGCTCAAGAGTGACTGTCAATCAGAAGAGACCACACCCCAGTTTTTTACTGGGAGGAAAAGCTGGTCAAGCTGAAGACCTCTAACTACTTTCCCTTCATTAAAAAAAAATGTCTCGGTGGTTTCATAGACATGTGCAATTCTCTCGAGGAGAACCAGGAGCCGGTCGCCACAGCCTCCTTCTGCTTTCTTAGCCTTGCCTACAGTTCTAGCATCTCCTGGTGGTCTCCTATCCGATTCTGAACCAGATCTGGCCCTGTTTAGCTTCTCGAGAACAGCTCTGGATCATTCACATTCAAGCCTTGCCAAGCGACACCATCCTGCCCAAACCCCCATGAGCAGCCGTCATTAAGCATCACAGAAGCTCAACCCATAGCAGAAGGAAAGAGGAAAGATACTCCAAGCAACCAGCAGCCAACCCGTAGGGACCGACTCAGTGTGACATCCGAGAACGGACGCCTCTTCCAACGATTGTTGGAACGCGTCCCGAAGAGTCTGTTGGCACAGCCACATGGGGCAGGGGGAGGGCGGTAAAGCCATATGGGGCAGAGCAATCCCTATACCTCCCATTTAAACCCAGCTCCAGAAGATTAAAAGCACATCTGTGTGCCCAGTCAGCCTACGGGCAAAGGGTTCGCATCCGGCACTGAAACCTGTGCTACTGCCAGTTCCTGGGGGGGGGATGCTAGAAAGGCCGGGACCCCCTTCTCAGGCTTCCTCGCAGCTCCATGGGGAAGCAGCCCTAAACAGCTGGCAGCGAAGCCGCCGACAACCCCTATTTCGCTCCTCCTCAGCTCTCCAACCCCCTCAGCCCCCACAAACATCTGTCTACAGCTACCTTTGCCGTATTATCATTCCGCGACGCATCTTAGGCACTATAAATCATAATAAAGGGAAAGGCACACGGGGATGTCGATCCCAAACAAAGCCAACCTCTATTTTGCTAATTTCAGCCCGTTGCTGCAGCCCTGGGTGGGGGGAGTGTGTGCAAAACACCCCCACCACCCCCACCCATCCAGGACCTCTCCAAAAAGGCTGAATCCAACCTCACTTTCATCAGATGTTAACTTCCCCGGGAGGAGCCACCACAGCCACAAAAGCTTCTCCGAACCCTGCTGAGAAAATGTCCCCATTTACGGCACGCAATTAAAGCCCTGTACAAAATCTGCCCACCTTCCCCCTGGTTTCCAGAAGGAGAAGTCAGAAGCGGGAAGCAGAGGATCAGATGTGAAGCCACAGAGCCATGGGCATGTTAGAGGCTGGAAGAGGATAAGCCTAAATCTATACTTTCCTCCTTCTTGCTCCTCCAACCTTGCAGTTCCCACCCTGTTTTCCTGCCATTCTCATCATGCGTCCTCAGCATTACAGGATTCTTACTGTCCTGGACCTCGAGCACACGTTGTTTAAAGTTCTTGCTCCTCAAGAAGCGGGCTAAGTGCCTGCATCTCTATCCGTGCTGCGAATCCTTGCATCTAGGCCTGTTCTCAATTGCAAAGCCCCTGCGCCAGTCAACGAAACTCACCCGATGCCTCCTCCACCACCATTCCTATAACTTCCTTCCCTGCAAGGTCTTATCGATTTAAACTGTAGAAGAAGTGCGTGCCAACCCATATCGAAATACTGTAAAGGAGGCAACTGGGCTTCTCCCCATTCTGCAGTTTAAAGCGCCATAATCTTTTGCCCCGTCTGCTGAGAGTCCGTGGCACAAAGTCTTCCCGGGGGTTCTTAATGACATTTCAGTGGCATTTCTTGGGACGGGGCTAGAGGAATCTCGCACGGCCGCTGCTATTGTCAAACACAGCCTTATCGTGTCACATCATTGTGTTATTCCTAGACGGCGGTTTTGACGTCACCCCAGGATGTAATCAGCTCAGCCTTTCTGCTGTCCAAACAATAGCCTGACGTTCCATTTTCTGGGTAAAATGAACGAATGCAGCATGAGCCTTACTTTCCTGGAGAAGGGCTAAAAAATAGAACAAATCTTCAGCTTAGTAGAGGGTGCACCAGCCTCACATCCAGCAGGACACATAGATCTCCAACAGAACAAGAGCTGATACGCACTAATGGGGGCTATTTAGCCCCAGAACCAAATCTATGATTTATACACAAATACACAACCCTGGGGTTCTCTTTTTCGTTCAGGATGTAGAGAAATGCCACGTTTTCAGCCAGCAATAAATAATTTTTTTAAAAAACCAGGTGCAACAGGTATCTTTAACCGCAGAGCTTATGTCATCGGTGCCCTCGGAAGATGTGAGTGGCAGATTAAACAAGTCCGTATCTGCCTGGGAGAGACGCCCTTTTTCTTTCTTCGCCCCCAGCATACACTTTAATTAAAAAACATAAACGGCTTATCAAAAGCTAATTAATAAGAAGCAACGTGTTGCCAAGTGGAGTTGGGAAGTGCAGTGTAAACAACCATTTATAACCCCGGAACGGAGGGCAGCGAGTCACAGATGGTGGGTGTTTAATGGAACGTGGAGAGGAATCACTCTGGAAGAAATTGCACAAAATTGGGGAAGCAGGGAAGGGAAGAAGTGGAGGATTAATCCATGCCTGATTAGGAATGGAAGCTGCCCCCCCAGTCCAGAAGAAAGCAAATTTCCAATAAGAGATGGCTTTTGGGGTTTCCTATTTTGCTTCCTACCGCTTTGCAGCAAGCTGAAAATTAAACTTGATGTGGGCTGGAGACTTCCCCAGAAGGCAACCTCAGAGGCTAATGCTGAGCTGACTTCTCCGGGCATTATGGCTTGTGTAGTCAAACCAGCCCTATCCAAGATCGCTGAAGCAAGCTAGGATTCGGGGGTGAATTAAGATGAAAACACCCCCAAGGCGCCTCCAAAGGAAAGCTTGGTTTGACCCTTGGATTCGGACTGCGCCTTTTCGGAGGAGCGCCGTCTCTGCCCTGGGCGTTTTGAATCTGTGAATCAGTCTGCCCAGTTTACTCCAGGTTTCAACGGGGGCACAAAGCAAAAAGTAAACGCAAATAATTATTGGCGTGAACAAGAGGGCTTTCTTGCAGATGATAGCGAAGCAGGAGCAGACGTGGGTGAGATTGGCGCAGACCTATGATGTCCAGCCTGTCTTGGAAAATCAGAGGGAGCTGAACCAAAAGGCGAGATTTGTTTTGGTTTTTTTTTAATCCATCAAAAGCTTACAAAGAAGGAGGATTAAACCCAGCTGACAGATTTCAGCAGGAGTAAAACGGCCACCATCCCCAGCGTTGGAGAGAACTGACAGCTGATCAATAGGAAATTACAGAGCTTTCAAATTCAGGTTTTGTCTTGGGACCCAAATTCCAGACACTGCATTTTGAAAGCCAATTAACGTTAAGTATTTTTGGTGACTATGGGGAGAGACGGTACCGGGAACGCTCCTCCCTCCTCCTCCCCTTGCTGCAACAAGCAGGAAATTAAAATAGATTTTAAATTAATTAAAAGCACCTGGAAACAAAGTGTGAGTAAAACGTTCCCCTGGAGGGAACCTCGGGGGGGGGGGATGAACAAACACAGAAGCGTATTCTTGAGGGTCTCACAGACTCCTTTGGACAGCCTTCTAGACCAGGTCCCGTAAAGACAAACTCAGAGCGATAGAATCACAAATAATTTCACTATTTGTTTTTTTGGGGCAGAATTTCTAATTAGCGTTAGATGTTTCAACATCCTGGATGGAAGGCGTCAATGTATTAAGTCCACATCTCTCCACTGCCTCTACTACAAAGTTATAATTAATTCATATTTATTTTGCAGCCCAAAGGCCCAAAAATACAACACAGCTCTGCTTCTAACGTAACTAACACCTCTGCTCGGGGAAACAGGTATAATTTACAGGTCGTGCTCCTGCTACAAAGCAAACCCAACCCCGTCATCTTCAGCCAGTGCAGCAAAACTGGGGTAGATGAATCAAGAGTCCTAGGTTCCTAGTAACACCAGCCCTTTTTGCAAACCCATGAGGACCAGAAACTTGGTTCAGTTTTAACTCAGCGGCACTTACTTTTGCATCTCTGGGTTCCCCGGAGAATCCCTGCCAGCCCACGGAGATAATTAATCGGTGGATGGACTACAGGAAGACTTATGTTCCTGTTTTGTTTCTTTGTTTTTAAACACATCTCCCAATAAACAACAGGTGAGGCTGACACCTGACAGATGGAACATCTGGACTCCGAATTTTGAAACCTCCCCCCGCCGCGTGTGAATCTTGCCAGGGTGAGCAAAAAGGAGTTTGGAGAAACACTTCGTGCCGACAACGGGGAGCAGCAACAAACCCTTCCCGAGCTCCTGATGGGTGGGCAGGAAAGGTGCCGGCATGAAAGGATGCTCGGCCACACTCACCGCTGGTCCTGGCGTACGCCGCTACCGTCCCGTTCTGCAGGCCCGCAAAGAGGTAATCGGCATTGTGCTTCAGGCAGAGGACGGGGTGGAGTCCGGGGGTCCGGCTTGTCAACAGACACTGCGCCCCCGAGTCCAGGCTGCCATACGCCAGGATGCTGCGGAGGAACAAGGGAGATGCTCACCGTTGGCAGCGCATGAAGAACACGGACCCAGAAGACTAGCACTGAAAGGGCACCCCCCAGTGGTGGACAAGGGAACTGCTGGGACCGGTTCGTTCCCTTTCCCGGAATTAAGGGCTCGGCCGATTCACGGAGTCAGCACCCGGGACAACTCCTCTGAGGGGGTGCAAAGTGCTTCTCCACCCCCGTTCCAAGGAACGGCATCCAGGCATCTTGGAATGGGATGGGGAAGAGCGAGAGGAGGGGCCCAAAATCCTTGGATCTAGAAGGTCAATAAGAGCGGGTCACGGGAGCCTCGTCCAGCCTTCTGCATTCATCCTGACCAGCCCAGAAGGGGGGCTGAAGGTGCAGCGGCTCCTGAATTTCGCCATGGGGTGGCCTGCACAGACCCAGCAGGGGGCTTCCCGACGCTGCAAGCGCCCCCATATCCTGATTCCCAGGACACGCGTTCCTACCTGCCGTCCTGCAGTCCGAGGCAAAGGGCTGGCTGCGCGGGAAAAGGCTGGTCAGCAGCGGCTGGAGAATCCTCCGCTCGCTCTTCTTCGGTCCTTTCGGAGATGTACTCCAAGCAGAGGACCCGGGAGGCCACCGGGAAGGACCTGACTATGCGAGGCACCGACCGGTTCAAGGAAAATATCTCCACTTGGCCCCCGGTCCCCTCCTGGCCGCCTCCGACCTAGAGAGTCCGCCAAAGGCCGGCGTTAAGGCCAGAGAAAGGTCCCCCCAAGACCTCTCTGCTCACAAGAACTCAAGCTCTGGGTTCGGATTTACCTTTTCAAACCTGGTTTAATCATTTACAGCACCTTTTTTCAAACTGGGCCCCTCCAGGTTGGTTGGACTACAATCCCTGCCAACTCCCAAGGCCCGTGCGGGCGGGGATGATGGGAGCTGTGGTCCAACGTATCAGAAAGGCACTCTCGGAGGGCTTTCAATATTCCAAAGGGGATGGAAAAAAAGAAAGCACCATACTCTTAGCCAGTACAGTCATGTTCTTAACTAAGTTAAGACATTATAAGATAACTCTGTTTGTGCAATTAAAGGGGAAGGTTAATTAGATAAAAGTTAAAGACTACCTAGGAGTCAGGCTAGATCCTGGTATCCATGTATGTTTCTTGCCAACGACACAGCAGAGGTTTGTTTTTTAGCTTCCCAGTCTAGTCTACATCCACCTGATTTCCTCTTGGTCTCCCATCCATGGGCTAGCTGGATTTAGCTCTGCTGAACAGCAAAATCCAGTGAAGATCAGCTAGGATCGTTCCTTAATTAACTCTGTCTCAAAATTGGCGTTCCAAATTTCTAACCTGGAAAGTGACGTGCCGGGCTGCTCAAACCGCAAACCATGGTTTGGTTCAGAGCTGCACGCTCCCACAAGGTCTCGAAGTAATGAATCAAAGCAGATTGGCAATTGGTCTATCCCAAGAGCGTCTACATTACAAACCGAATCAGGCTTTCTGTTCCCAGAAAAAACAAGCTTTTCCCCCTTCTTTAAGTACTGGAAAAGGGGGTCACTTCGTAGCATTGATTGGCAATTGGTTCAGGTTAGAGGTTTTTCCTCTTTGCAGCAAAGATGACCTGGGTTCCCCCCCACTTAAAATCGCTTTTTAAAAGTCCTCTTAAAGAACCTTCGGAGACGTAGATATGAAATCTGACTGCCTGTTAGAGTTGACAGGAATTGGCTGCATGAAAATGTTGTTGTGGGTGCCAGTGAGGACCCTTCAACCCTCCTCCATACCCTCCACCGCTCCTCTTCTGCTAGCATCCCACAACCATGTCTGTCCTCATTTAGGGACTCTACTTGAAGTACAATAAATCTTGGGGTCTCCCCTCCACCCTGCTGATAGCTGCCCCTGCTGGAGAAATCCAGTCCCTGGAAATAGAAACCAGGGGAACGTATCTCTCACCCCGATAAGTACTCTTTTCCTTTCGGGATCTCCTCTTTATCAGCTCTTAGTGCCCTTGCGGAGGAAATGAAAACCGATGCAAAGTGCACTGTGGTGCACGAACAGGCACTGTTTTTGTATAAACTCACCCACAGGTAGCCTTGGGGCAGAGACGTGCTGATGGCCGAAAACCCCAGCAAGGAAGACTGGACTGGGCTGTGCACGGCCGCCCCCAGCTGACCGCAGAAATCCAGCCGGAACAAGAGAAAAACATAAACAGGAGAGGTTATCATTTTATGGCGTGCGCATGCCACCTTTTGAAACAAGCTTTGGCAAAGTAATGCAAAGCCCAACTTTCTAAAAGATGTCTTTGCAACCAGTATCCGGGGGGGAAAAAAAGAAAAAAGAAAGAAAAGAAGGAATTGTTAAGGGCAGCTAAAAATATCTAGAAAACAACAGAAACAATCAATGGAAACACTCAATTAAGGCAGAAAGAGAAGCCTCAAGAGAAGGGGCTGAGTGGAGAACTAGGAACAGAGGGCTAAAATTAGTCTCTGGAAATAAAACAGGGCACAGCTCCCTCGAAAACGGCAGATGTTCCAAAGAATTGGAACGGGAGGGCATAAAAGTCTGATTTTTAAGGTAATTATGTGCTTTCTCTTTTTCCAGCTGAATCTGTTTTTCTTCCACCTCCCAAGAAAACTTAAGCGGGGAGGAAAAGAATCAGCGAGCCGTGCAGGATGAAAGCTTGCGTGCTGGAGCTGAAAGGGGAGGCTCTTCTTAGAAGGAAGCACAAGTCCAGAAGAAGTTTCCCTTGGGGATTTTGGGGGAGGTGGGAGGTTGGGAAAGAAAGCCAAAAAAGTCCAGATCCTTCACGGAAGGAAGGTTTTAAATCAAAAAGTTTGGAGCTGCACGGCGTCTCCATCACACTGTTTTGGGTACTTATGCCAAATCAAGCCAGCATTGCGTTTCACCCTGAAGTCCAACTTAGATACTCCTTCGGCCTCATCCACGTGTAGGAAAAATCAATGCTAGCAGCTTCTGGATGTTTTGGGGCTCCCCACCCAGGATTCTCAGCCTCGATTTTAGGAGCTATGGTGCCAGCACATCTCTGCAAGGTGCTGCTAAGTTTTGCCAAAAGGCACTGATTTTTTTCCCCTCCACCTCTGGAAAGGTGAAATCAGGAAGGGACGGATGGAGTTCAAAAAGTTCCCGTGTCTTCTTCTCGAAGAAAACCGAACCTAACCCTACACAGGTCTCTTCCACCCAAGGTGAGAAGAGAACCCGTCCTTTGAGGATTCACATGCTGACATGGAAACCTGCAAGCTGTTTTAAATCCTTGGGGACCAAGGGAAGGACGCTGGGTAGTCAAAGCCTCTGTAGACTGATCATAATATATTCCTTGCTACAACAACTTCCCTTTATCAGCGTTTTTTTTTGGGGGGGGAGAAAAGGATGGGAATAAAACATAGATCATCAAAAAGAGCGAAAGCTGCAGCTGGATTGATGGGGGGAAAGAAGAATAAAAGCTAAGCGGTTGCAAAAAAAGAAAGGGAAAAGAGTGGGGGGTCTGCCATCCTGGATGTGATGCAGCCGCCTTTCAGTCCAATTAGCCGAAACTGGCAGCCAGGCCTTAAAAAGAGAGAACACGCTCCGCCAGCGGCTTGAAAGCAGTGCTAATTTTTTTTAAAAAGGGTATTTAGAACCTTCTGCTCTTCAGAAGAGAAGCCCAATTATCTGGCCTTCTACCAGGGTGCAGCAGGGAACAGATGGGTTTCGCAGCTTTCCAACAGGTGTGTTGGAGAACAAGCCTGCGACTTCTGCCGGTGGACTAACAGAAGCCACAGGTTGGCTTTTCCGCTTTACCAGCCCTGTTTGACCAGAGCGTCGTGACCTCTCAAGGTAGAGTCCACCTGCAGGTCAACTGAAGCGCTCACCGATTGTGACCCAGGTAGGAGTGGCGTGGCTGTAACAAATCTGGCTCACCACCACCACGTCCACCACGTGGGCTGTTTTCCCAAGGACCCCACAGGACTGTTATAATGCACTAGAAGAAAGAGCAAATCCTTGAGGAGATGGTCAGAAGTCGGCCCTTGGCACGGGACAACTTGGTATCTCTTTACCTGCAGGTCGAGAGCCCTGGAGGAGAAGGCAGGGAGGTGGCAGACCAAAATGGGGCACCAGAAAGCGGCTTTGCTCTTTTTGTCTTCTTCAGGGCAAATCCACCCGGGCTGGTTTTCTTCCCCTGCAAGGAGAGGGAGAAGAACTGAAAAAAAATTGCCGTACAACCTTGGCCAACGGGAGCGTCTTCCCTGCCTGCAAAGCATAGCAGGATGGGAATGCCCTTCGCAGGAGGCAGAAGGAGCCACCTGGGCATTGATAAAAGTCATAACGTTTCTGACTGCCCCCTCCCCAAAGGCCCAGAAGGGACCACCGACAGCCCAGCGCCCCAGAGTCACAGCTTGTGGACTTCAGAAGCAACCCCATCGTGCAGATTCCTCCGCCCCGGGCTCAGATTGCCCCGTCCCAGGATGTTTGTAAAAGGCGAGAATAATTTTTATTTACAGGGGTTTCCACGGACCCTTCAATGAAGGTTTAGGCAGGATCTTTAGAGGCACAGGCACCCTCAGTGGGGAAAGCAGATCAGGGAAGAGAAGGAAGGAGGTTAACCTGCCAGGCTTTTTTGGAGTAGCAGAAGGTGCCAGTCCTGCAGCCGAAAAGGTGCGTAAAGGTAATTCTAACTGCTACTTTTTGGGGACACCATTCCAAACCTGTGGGACGGCTCTCTTGTCCACATGCAATATACACCTAATGTGTATGAGTCTCGGCTAGCAGGAATGGAAAGCAATTTATATGCCTGATGTTACAGAATGGATGCAAGACGGGACTTTGCATCCATTTCTGAAACGTCTTTATCTTCTAAAAAGGAGAAGATGGAGCAGTCTCTAGCTATAATAAGATGAAGGACAGAGTTAACGTTATAGTAATAGCATATGAGACTTCTTTTCTTTTGCTTCTGAACTCTCCTCCCTCCCCTTCTTAATTTTCACTTCAACGCAGTGTTTCTCAACCGTGGCGACTTTTAAGACGGGTGGGCTTCGACTTCCAGAAAAAGTTGCTGAGATCGGGAAACGCAGCTTTAATGTGTCTAGTTCCTTACTGTATTATCATTAATGTATCATTCTTTTATTTGCTACACTTCATTAATAAAATTTAAAACAGGCAGCATTCTTTCCTTGTTTATTTGCCACACTTCATTAATAAAATTTAAACAGATGAAGCAATTTAAGCGTTCACCTAAAGTTATCTCATTATGAAGGGGGCAGGAAGGAGGGCTTCCCCAAAGACCTTGCAGGCTGAGAAGAATCCAGTGAGACAGCTAAAAGTCCCAGATTCTTACCAATTTTCCTTTCTGGATGTTCAGAACAACGTCCCACCACCCAAGGGGGGATAAGCAATTTATTTCTCTTCTTTGCCACGTGTCTTGGGAGTGGCGGCCCAGCACTTTAATTACAGAAAAATGAAAACAAGCCATAAAAAAATCAGCTAGCTAAATATTTTAGGGAGGGCTAGCACATCAGTTCCTCACAATCGTGTCAACAGTGAGGGAAAACCCTGAGTTAGCCAGCGTCTCTGGCTGCAAATTCCTCTCTTTTCCTGCTTCAGCATTAAGGCTCGTGCTTTTCCAAAGCTTGGGCACTGCGTTATGAAGAAGCGTTGGACCACGGAATAATGAAGCGAAGGTGGTTACTCACGGAGGGCAATTTTGGCCAAGTGCAAATGATTCACCCAGGAAATTTTGCTGAGCGGGTTTGGCGTGATGAAGACCACCATGACGCTGATGGGGCGCCCAGCCCTGCGTTAAAAATGAACCCCAAAGGACAAAGATGAGGACATGCACGCAGAAATCTCCTTTCAGCCAAAGGGGGTTCATCTTTCAATCAGTTAAAGACAGATTCTTCCTTTTTCGGGGGGGGAAATGAATGGTTACATAAACATGCTTCTATTAAATCTGGAGTTTGGGAACAACGAGGAGAAACCATTTCATCTCAGGAGAAACACTGATATGCCAAACATCACTGAAAAAGAACAGCCTTCTCGAGCTTTCTAATTACACTAAACTATTTCATTTAAAAGTCAGCACTGGTTACAGGTAGTCCTCGACTTACAACCATTTGTTTAATAGCTGTTCAAAGTTACGACGGTGCTGAAAAAAGTGACTTACAACCAGTGCTTGCACTTACGACTGTTGCAGCATCCCTGCGGTTATATGATCAAAATTTGGGTGCTTGGCAACTGGCATGTATTTACCACAGTTGCAGCGTCCCGGGGTCATGGTCATAAGTCAAGAACTACCTGTATTTACTTAAAACAGGGATAACTAGGCAGAGTGTCTAGAACCAGGTGGTTCCCAGAATGAAAAAACGAAAGACTGACTCTCCGCTAGGGCAAGGCGGGGACCTCACACACCTTGAAGACCAGGTGGGTCACCCACTCCTGGCTTTGAATGAGATGAAGCAGTGGAGTGGCGAGCCAAAGCAAGAGTCATGGAAGGTGGGCTTGGAACATCTATCTGGGTTCTCTTGAGCAATTGCTAAAGAATAAACAACCCGGCATACTTGTCTGGCTTCCCAGGAAGTAAGAGGCGGAGGCGGCACTTGTTTGCAGAGTGGATCTCCTCTTCCTTCACCCTCATCAGCCTCTGTAGAGCCAAGCACCAGTCTTGGGCCACTGTCATATTCAGGTTCTAGAAGCAAGATGAAAAAAAATTAATTCATTGAGGTTCTCTTTTCAGAGCAACTGCCTGGGAGGATCGTGACTCTGGATTCATTTATGGCTTTGGGACCAAAGCCTCAAATTCTGATTTAAACTCATCTTGATGACTTTGCAAGAAACAAGACTCTAAGTGACTCATGCACAATACTTCCGCTTCATGTGCCCACTGGAGTTCCTCTAAGAGGCACCCTTTCCAATTCCTCAAAAGCAGGTTGAAGCCAACCCACCACTGTGTTCAGGGCTGCGGACCCCCAAGGCTGTGAGAATCACGAGCTGATCAATACGTCTTGCAGCTCATCAGAGAGAGTAAAGAATGTCTGCATCTGATCCCTCTGCCCTCTACATATTTAGCACATGTTACATGCATTTTGTTTGGTGAAAAAATAAAATAAAAATCCAAGCAGCTGTTATGAGGAGGAGCTGCAAAGCTGTCAAAGCACATTAAAAGACCTCTGAAACAACAGCATGATACTACAGCAACTTAACTTCTATACAGAGGGGGAGAGATTGGTTTGAACCCAGGAGCTGGAAGGGAGAAAAGACTCTCAAGTCTCCCCCTTAATGGGAACAGGCTACCCGTAAGTTGTTCACAGCTTCTGCATTTCAAACAAAAATATCTCATGCTATGAGCTGGAAATAACATGGTGGTAGAAAGAGGCTGTGAAGAAGTGCCCTCAGTGGCATTCGGGTTACTCACAACCGGACTCACTTGGTACGTGCCATGAAGAGTGCTGATTAAAAGGGTTATCTGCTGCACCACGGCCAAATCTTTTTGCAGATCCTGGAGCTCCTGAAACAGGCGAGGGGGTCCCAAATAGACTTTATCTGTGGGAGACAAATTTGGACTTTAGGGAGCACTGTCACCAGAGGGCCGAATTGCCTAGAGTGCACATACTCAGGCTTTTTAAAAAAAAATTGCATTTGCAATTCTCTTTGTTTTTATTTTAAATCCTCATTCCAACTATGAGCAAATTCAGGTTGGTGGGTGCATCCTACTGAAGCCAAAAGAATGCTATTAAGGAAAAAAATAGAAGAATGCCATTAACACTCTCTGAATTTTACAGGGTCCCCAACAGCTTTCAAATTAAAACTAAAGGGGTTAGCCATCCCCTCCCCTCTGTTAATATTCAGGAACTGCACCCTGTGGAATGCTGGCTCCCTTCCGGGAGAAATATTGGGAAAATTCCCCAAGTTTTACACTTTTTCCAGCTGGACACCTAAAGCCGACCTTATAAAACATTTCGTGCAATATTTTAAATGGGTGCCCCAAAGGAAAGAGCAGCGCCTGAGGAAGATTTTGCAAGACGGGGTTGGGGGCAAAAGCCGGGGGTCCTGATCCTCCCCGCAGCGTCCCTCCCGTCTCCCGCAAAGCTTGCTCAGCTGGAAATTTTGAACGGTGGGAAAAGAAGAGGGGGTCGCTTACTATGGGAAGACTGGCTGGGTGGCGCGTGTTTCTTGGATCCAACGTTGGGGATGGCAGCGTTTTCCTTCTCCCGGGCGCTGCTCTCCTGCCCGACCTCCAGCACCTGCACCTGGGGGAGGGCGGCGTTCCACTTCACAATATACTTGGGCCCCAGAGGGACCAGGCTGCTGATCTCTAGCTGCCCCCTGCGAGAAAGAAAGCCCTGCTAAAAAAGCAGAGGGCGGGCATGCTGTGCCTCCAGACCCATCACTGCCAAAGTGGCAGCCCCCGAAGATCCAGAAGCCGTGCTCTGAAATCCGAATTGGCAAGAACAGAACTTCAGATCCAGCGTTAAGACACTCCAAAGGCATGCCGAGGGAAGGAAAAGGCAATACAGGCAAAATCCAGTAATCCTGATTTCTTGCAGGCTACCTGCAAATCTTAGCCCTGCCCGACATCTTAAAAACTGCCACCCTGGGCATTTGACTCTGGACTGACTCTTGCACCACCTCTGCCTGGGGAGATACTTGTGAAAGGAAGACATGCTTAACAACCTTCTGTTTCCACTTTTTTCCTGCCCAAACATTTTCGTGTGGGCAGAGCTTTCTTCCTCACCCACCAGGGTGGAGAGACCAGGACATGAAACGTCCCCCAAATGCCCAGCAAATGCCCCTTAGGGGCAGTGTTCTTTAAATGCCAGGAAGAATTCTGAATTTCAATCTTTGGAAAAGTTTTTCTGCACTGGAACGTTGTTCAAAAACAAAGGAAAACAACACCACTACTCTGGTTTATGGACGCTGCAGCCTCTCCGATCAACACAAAAGGCTTCAGGTTCACATCAAGCCTTCGCAGGCATGCAAGCCATTCACACAACAATCTGCATCCCTCAAACACAGAGCAAGCCACACAGCGTTGTCCAAGCCATTCACGTCCTACCTGGTATTCACTGGCCTGACAAAAGAGAAACGTCAAAGCAAAGGTCATTATCAAATTCTCCTCCCAAATCCCACCCTTTCAGAACTGAAATTTTTAAAAAAAATCCTTTGCTGTTTGGAGAGGTTGAAGGGTCGAATGCAAACCCCAATGCTTAATTCTTGCTGTTATTTACATTCCTGGTCTTGCAAAGCAGAGCGGCCAACTCCAGAGGGTGAGGATTCCCCGCTTCTGGAATTGCAAGATTTTCCCCACCTTTGAACAAGGTGCCATTGTCACAATTATTATCAATAATTCCCCGCGGGAAAGGAAATTCAGCCCCGTTTCTAGAGGCTGGAATATGCTCTGAGAATGACAAGGGAACAGATCTCGGCCAGGGAGCGCACAAAACCCTTTGCATTTTTAATTTCTATTTCTGTTCCAACACGTGCCGGAGCACGACCTACTCAAGTTTCCGTCTCTCTCGGACGCACAACTATTCCAGGCACTCACTTGAAATTGATGTTGGCGCACACTAACACGTCGTTCAAAAGGAACACCTTGCGCTCCTTGGATTTGATTAGTTGACCCCGGTCACCGTAAACCGTCTCCGTCAGGGTCTCACAAAACAACAGCTGCCGTTGGCCCGAATTTAACAACTGGGGAAAGAATAGGGGGGGGGGGGGAGAGAGAAAAATAAAGCAAAAGCAGAATTACCTAGCGAAACAGAACCTTGGCCTTATCCAAAAACATCCACGGCAACTGCTTTTAAAGGCTATTTTCCTTGGAGGGTAAAGGGAACGGGAAAAGAGAGAAAGGTTTGGGGTCTAGTTCAGATATTGTTCAAGACCGTAGACTAATTGAATCAGGATTTGGTGAATAAGCCAGAATTAAATGCCCAGCCACCCGTCACAGCCCACAGAGAACATTCTGGCTTAGCACGATGTTTTAATTCAGCCGTTGTCTTGCTCAGAGTAAGCGAACTAGGGATGCGCAACTCTTCAGATCCGGAGCTGTTTGGGGAAAATCTGCTTCAGTGTTTAAGCTCCGAAATGGATCGGCTCAGCGGGATGTTTTCTGGCGCCTGTGTTGCTGACAGCGGTTTTTGAGGCTATATTTGCTTTATGTACATATTTGCTTGCCTCAAAAGGTTTTTTTTTTTTTTAATGCTTTAAAATGTTTGTTCCCTCGAGCGCGGCTTCAGCCAAGAGATGGGGCGGGAGCAGCGAGTGAACCTACCGCTTTTCCGAAGCATCTCTTCTACTTTGGCCCCAAACGAGCTGCTCATCCCTAAAGCAAATCCTGCAGGTGCTTGAAAGGTAATGAACGGCTAAATTCAAGCCTCCCTATTAGCCCAGGAAAGCAGTAGGCCACCTCCAGCCGCACCTTCTCTTTGACCACGGCTGTATGGAAGAGGTGGGAACTGAGGTCCAGAACAGCAGCTGGCAGCAAAGAGGTTCATCTCAGATCCCTCTGGACTTCCCCAAACTCAGAGCCCTGAGCATTAAGCTCTCTCCCTGCTTGCACACCTCTTTCCATTCTTCCTATTTGGGTGAAGCGACTACAACCCCTACAGGTGCTGCAGGAACCACAGCCAACTGTCTCAACCTGGAGCCCACCCAATGTGTCCGATTCAACAACGCTTGGATCCTAGGAGTCATCATCTGAAGAGATCCAGAGGGTGGTGGGGAGTGACCACTGGGTTGGGCCTCTGCCCGTCCTGTGGAGAGTCACACACCTTATGGAGATGGCTGCGGTCACTGACGCTCTTGGTCAGCTGCTGGATCTCAGCCACCTGGTCTGCCAACCTCTTCTGCTCGTTGAGTTTCTCTGCCAAGGTCTCCAGTTCTGTAAGAGCGAGCTGGAGCGACAGCCTGTCGGCGTGACCTTTCGGTGTATTCTTCAGCATGTCCTGGCAGGATGGAAGACAGAGCAAGGTTGGAAGCAGGCCAGGGCATTGTGAACGGACAGCCATCTGCGCCATGGAGGTAAGAGGGTCACGACATGCTCAGGTCCACTCCAGATGTTTTCTCAGCCTCAGTATGCCAAGCCAGCTCTTTCCCTCTGCTTGGCATAATCTAGATCAGTGTTTCTCAACCTCGGCAACTTTAAGATTTGTGGACTTTGTGCTGGCTGGGGGATTCTGGGAGTTGAAGTCCACAAATCTTAAAGTTGCCAAGGTTGAGAAACACTTATCTAGATGTTCTTCCATACATAGGAAGCCGAGCAAATAAAAATGGTACCTGGAGTAGAAGAATAAACTGGGGGAACCTTTGGATGGGCTTCACCATCAAGCCGTAGAGGGTCACGCGGTCTAGGCTGGCCATCTGTTTCTTCTGCAAGGGGGAGAGACATCCAGAGTTATAATTACTCTGTTGAAATGTAGACTTCCATTCTTCCTTCTCCAGTGCGTATGTGGGTCTTTGTGTTGCCACATCTCAGCACAGCATCAGTACCATGCTTGTCCCGTTCAGCATCACCTCTGCTACCATCAACAATCCCATTTTGCCAACTGAGAGAATTCAGTGTGGGTCAGAGTAAACCATTCTCTGCCACTCTACTCTGATGGGGGCTTTGGATCCATCAAACATTCATCTTCCAACACGTGGAAATGCACGCCCCGGATACAAAGACTACAACATTCCAAGTCTCCAACCATATTCCTCCATTACTCTTATTTACCAAAAAAGAACCCTCAATTAACTGAGCAGCAGATGAGGCACAAATTATTAATTTTTATACTTCTAAACTCAACTGTAGGAAGCAAATACCATTTTTTATTATAACCATTAGATCCCCACAATGCATTCATATTCAAATGCATTTAGCTGTGGAATGGATTGTTTAACTAATTCAATTATCTTTCATTCAGTTGTAGCTTTCATAAAAATCTAAACACTGTCAAGATCTCAACAGTTGAAACTTCATCACAAATGAAGAATTCCTTCATCTAACTTCAGATGGGTGAGGAGCAATGGAAAGGTTAGCATCACACATCTGGAGAAAAACAAGATGTAGAAGGCTGATGGAGAGATTTCTATGACTGCTAAACTAAGAACAACCCATTGTTGGGTCTGCCCCACATTTCAGGACCTTTGTCATGTCTGCTCTCCTTACCTTGAGGAACTCTAAGAAAGCTGGTTTGGTCAGGCATGCCTTCTTGATTAAGGACATGGCACTTGTGAAGTTGTTGACGTACTCACTGTAGACATCCAAAACCATGGACTTGGAAAACTTTGGGGAAGATAAATGAAGGACAGTGAGACCCCAAGATTCATTTCTAGAGCCCCCAGAAGGGTTGGCAGGAGCAGAAGTCATGTGTCGGAGACGGGTAGCCATATCAATTTATAATAATTGCTCACCGAGGCCACGAAGAGGTCACCGATCTTCTCCATGGAGTCCCACTCAACCACCCGCGAAGACAAGGCAATTTGGAACATGGAGTGGCACTGCAGGATCTCTTTGACGCGGAAAAAGACCATCTGGCATTTCCTGGCGCTGAGAACTTTGGGCTCCATCTCCATCAGTGGGTTCCTATAATCCTGTTTGGAAGAAGAGGAAACCGTGCCATTAAACATAAGAACACGCCCCATTTCCCTTGTCCGTTTGCGGCTGGAATGGGGTTACTGGGGGAGACCTCACGTAACTCCTTCAGGTGGACCAAAGGATGAGGGATTTTGGGAAATTAGGCCCCCAACACTTAGAAACTTCATTTTCACATGGGGTCTGAAAGATGGCTGATCTCAGAAAGCTAATTCAGGCTGCACCAGCTTCAGCGTGGGACGGGAGACCACCAAGGCGGGTGGCTTGACTGGGAGGTCAAAAAAACATCTTGAAGGAAGGGAAGGGGCAACAATTCCCATATTGGTGCCTGGAAAACATCAGGGGCACATGGCCAGGACGCCTTGGCCCTCTCGACGGAAGGCTGCGAGCTATGGGTGACGGGTATCTAAGAGAGGGTTGTGTTCTTTTCCCGAGAATTAAAAAAGGCGTCATACCTGTAAAATGCGCCTCAAGGAGTCCACGTAGCTCCTCTCGCTTTGCACAATGGAGGCCAGAATGTGACGGCGTATGACCTGAGCCCCCCCGAGGGAATAAAGCAGATGCAGAGAATGAAGCCCACGGACCAGCTGGTGGAATTCATGGCCACCAGAGCGGCCATTCAGATTCATCTTGCTCCAATGCAAAGACCGGTTTGCACTCTCCCAAATTCCCTTTGGGTGACGCGCTTGCAGAGTGATCCGCTGCTTCGTCCCTAACAGCCAGGCTTTTTAGATCTCACCAGATCCTACTTCCACAGACTCCCTGCTGGAGGAGAAACTCATCCCCACATCAGGGAACCCTTCCTCGGTTTCCTTCCCAGGACAACTTTAGAACAGGATCACCTCTGTCCTCCAGGCTCAACGGAACACGAGCAAGGACAAGAGATTCATGCACCAAAGCCAGAGCATCCAAAATGGAAAAGCCACAGCTTTTAAGAGGGCTGCTAAAGTTGGAAATTAGGCAGCGTTCGGAGTTTATCCAGAGGGAAGCCTCTAAGGGCGTGTACTTTTGGGGACGTTTTTGCATTTTTGCACGCACTGGGGTTGGCTCCTTCATAACACAGCTGTCGAGTTTGTTCATTTAGGGGCTCCGACAGAAGCAGGATTTACTTCTTGTTGCGCAGCTACAAAGACTGTGTTTTCTCTTTGCAACTGATAGAAACTCAGACCTTCAATATTAACTTTTTTGTCTCTCTCTCTAGCCCGGCGGATCCCAGATAGATGTTATTTTCCTACAGGATCCTTTATTTATTCCTTAAAATTTAGATCACACTTTTCTTCCAGCAACTCAAGATGGCATGCACAACGCTCTCTCCCCACCACTCTGCAAGCAGGGTGTGCACAGGGGGTCTTTTGCAAAAACAAGGGCTCATCCCGAAACCCCAAACCATTCCAGAGAGAGGACCCAATTCGAACTGGCCAAAAATTTAGACTTCAGGCTTGAACCACATCCCCAAAACAAACCTGCTGAGGATTTAATCCTTCTGGCATTGGCCCTAACTCTGGCAGCTGATTTCTTGCATCCGAAACTGGTACCTCCAGGAACCCCATGTCTTCTTCTTCAGAATCACCTGGGAAACAAAAGCAGGTAAAATAAAAATAAAGTGACTCCCTGGGGGGAAAAGTTTCATGCGTTTGAAGAACGTTGTTAATGTCCGCAAGGCAAAATGGAGCAACGACGAATAAATTGAACGTCCTCTAGCCGGGAAGGGATCCCACTCGCACGCTTCAAATCGCACATCTCCTCCGTTGCCATTCCTCCAACTCAAGATTTAAAAGATGCTTCCAGACCTCCATAGCGCATAGCCAAAGGGTTTGAGCAACTGGCAAAAATCAGGAGGAAATCGAGGTCCATGGGGAAGAGAGGCGATCGGAGTCACTCTACAAATCCATTAGAGCTGGCCAGCTAATAATGTCAAACAAATAAATGAACTTCTTCTGTTGAGAAACTCACGATTTTGCTGGTTGCCCCTGAACTCCCAGGGCAAAAGGAACACCTCTGTTAGGGCTCCTGTTTTGAATATTTCACAGCATGACACAGAACAAAGTTTTGGTCTTTTTAAATACAGACCAATCCGTCTCCAAGACCCTTTCCAAGCACAGACCAATGGACGGGGCTTTCTCGTCCTCCCTTTATTCCCCAGATCTATGAGAGCGGCCACTGCAAATATCCTCAGGCAACCGTCTGCAAGCTCACGCCTGTCCACCCACGGATAAAATGCTTCGGCCGTAGCATCAGCACCCATTCCTGCTGTGTTTTTCCAGAGCGCAGCCTGCCGGCTTGCACCCTGGCATCGTTTTGTCCTTGCAGCAATCTTAGGACAATGGGGGGGGGGCAGAAATCAACCGGTAGAGCTCCACCATCTCTTTCCTCTGAGCACGTGCAGAATGTATTTCTCCTTTGCTGCTGAATCATCACCCCAAAGCACAGAAGGGGGCCTGACTCTAAAAATCAAAACTTGGGACAAAAAGAGGCAGGGTGATGGTGGTGGGGATCGGTTTTCCCCAGGCACCGGAAGGCAGAACCCATATTTTGCCCACAGAGCACCCTACCTGCCCGGAGCTCCACAGAAACAAGAAAAACATTGCAATATAAGGGTCACCTGGTCCCCTTGATCTAAGGTCTGGCTTCCAACCATGGTCAGGCAGAAACCTTTCAAAAGCCCACCAGAAGGGCATTAAAACAGAGATCTCTCTCTCATCCCTCTTCACATAATTGGTTTTCAGGGCCAGACTGCCCCTGGCTGGGGTGGTTCTATTCACAATGCTCATAGACAACGCAGGGTTTGGATTTAGCTCAAGCAAAAATCCACCTGATGCTTTCATAGACAACCAGATTCCTTTGGGGGCCCACAAGTGAAGGCTGGGGGCAATGGGTGATCTCCCCCCACCCCTCTGAACGATCAACACGTTTTTTAATTAACCCATCCTCTGTGAATTTGCCCCCCACCGTGTGCTGTCCAAATGGATCTTTGCTTGCAAGATCGGGAGAGCTTTTGGGCAAAGTGACTCAGCAAAAATCCACCCCCTTGGCACAGCGGGCACTGCCCGTGGGATCCAAGAAGATTCCTGGACAGGCAGCGCCTCCAAACCGACGTCCTGCCAAGGCAAAGGAAGTAAACAAAAACTGCACCATTTTACAGAGCCACGCTGTTGCAAGGGATCCGAAGAAATGACAGTGAGTCCAATGTGGCGCCCAAACCATGGGTTGACTCGGGCAGAAAAAGCAGGCTCAAGGAAGTAAGCCAAGCTGCATGCTTTGGGGACACACGGGATCATTAGAGGGGGCTGGATGGGGAGCAGGGAGATTCAATTTTGGTTCAAGCTCCAAGCGGTGCTCCCCAGGTGACCCCGTGCCAGCCCATCCTACCCCACAGGGTGTAAGGCAGACCTCGCTGCTCACAGAGAAAAGGCAAGACGTAAACAAAATAAAGAACAGTCAGACTGGAAACGAATTTACTCCCCCCGATTGCAATTAACATCCTCCCGGAGCCCCCCGCTTTTCCAAAGCCGGACAAGGCGGCCACCAGCCACGCAGGATAGATGCCACCGAGCTCGCTGGATTCTGGCAGAAACTGAAGCTCTGCGGAGCCCGAAACAGAAACCCACCCCCAGGACGGGGTCCAAGCGCCACGGGGCAAGATCCGCCAGCTCCCCAGCCTTACCTGAGAGTGAGGAAGAGGAGGAAGAGGAGAAGTGAACGATCACATAGTCCTTGCTGCTGTGGTGCCGTTTCCTCCACATCTTCTCCATGGGAGCTCTTCTCCCCCCAACCAGCCCCAACGTCGTTCCCAACCTTCCTCTTTCTCAAACCTCACGCTGACTCAGTTCCCATTTGAGTCTGGGGCTCCCCATCCCCAGCCGGCAGGCGGCACCCCCAAAGAGGGTTCGGGCACCGGGCGGGCGCCGAAGGGTCCCCGCGAGAGCCAAGCCGGCAGA